GGGCGGGCGGGGAGGCTCCCCTCCACCCGCCGCTCCTCCGCGCGCCCGCCCCCACCACCGCTCTCTGTATCCAATTTTGTTCTTCTTAGTTCCGGGCAGCGCTCCATGGATATACCCTATTGTACGGCTTGCTGTTTTCGTTGTTGGCACCACCATATGTTAGAGCGTTTCACTTTTCACTAAAGGTTCGAAAAATTCCGCACTACCCCTACATCGATTCTTTTTTTAAAATGGAGAACGTGTCTCGGCGATTTTCGAAAGTACGAATATTGAGCTATGCTCCAAAGTTTTGGAATAGTTTGGACTTTAGCAAACAAAAATCATAACTCCCTCAAAAATCGACCGATTTTCACCGATCTCAGCTCAAAACACTTGTACCGCTTTTCACGATCAAGATACGCCCGCGATAGGCTCCTACAAGGCTCTAGAGCCTCCCATAGAGAGACTATAAGGAGAGAGGCCACAACTGCCGGGCGCTGACTGGCGGGGCGCTCCGGGCGCCTACCGTTCGGTGCCAAATAAAGCATTCCGGTAAAGCTGAAATGCAGAAGAATGCAGGGAACAAGAAAACGGAAGTCCCATGGAAAAGCATAGTGATTTCCGTTTTCTTCTTCCTCGCATTCTTCTGCATTTTAGCTTTACCGGAATGCCTTATTGGACTGCAAAACGGCCCACTTACCGTCCAACAGCCGCCCCAACTCTGATCTGACCGAGTGCGGCCGTGCAGGCCGGTCTACGGGAGGCTATCTTGCACTTGCAGGAGCTCTACTGGCGAACGACGACTAGTACTCACCATCTGCAGCGGCATGAGCTGCGACCATGCCACCGCAAGGCCTGAAGGCTCAGCGCTCGAGCGACTTGGACGTCGAGAAGGGGTCACCAGGAGAGAAGGGCGCCAACGGTCAACGGTCACCAACGGCCTGAAGACATGTTGCTTCCTGCTTCGGACACTTTCTGGCTGGCGGTCTTACGGGGAGGGGAAGCGAGGGTCCGATCTTCTATGGCCCGTCTAGCGAGAGAATGCATGAGACAACAAAGCCTAAGAGCCTGCGCGGGGCACAACCTACGCGGGCCGTTCTCGAGCACTGAGCCACACCGCGTCGGCTAAATATCAGCTTGAATGAGGACGATTTTCGGGTGCCGAGTGCGCTAGAGCGCAGAGCCCCAGACACGCGACACGCGAGCCGGGCGGCGCCAGGCATAGAACTGCTTTTCTTCAAAATAGTCAAAATCAAAAAAAGGAGCCACGAGAGCGGAGCGGGGGTGGGGAGGGGCGGGTTGAGCGGCTGGAGGAGCAACATATGTTCATGTTCCAGGCCCGAATGCCAGCCGGGCGCAAGCGCAGCAGTCAAATCAGCTACGCGGGGCCGCACAGGCGATCGCTTTCACTTCCGTTCAACGACTGTTTCATCCCAGATCCAGAGATAAACCAGCAAATCGGAGGTGAAAGAGTGAGCAAAGGACACACGCGTGAAAGTCAAATCAAACCGAGTGCGAGGGAGTCGCTGTAGGCCAGACGGCCCGGCGAAACGAAGCTAACCTAACGCTGGCTAAAGCACACTTCGGCGACACGAACTTGACAAAAAGCACACAAAACCAACAAAACGTTGGGCAGCTGCCCGTCCCGGGGCACCGGGCTGCGGGCTCGACGGACCACGACGGACTGGACTGAAGGAATCTCTGTTTTTTGACCATAACAAGCCGCGGCCGCGAGTCACTGGCGCCCGACCCGACCCGGCCGGGTATGTCGGGCGAGATCTTACCCGGCCCTCGGCGCGCTTCCGCGAACTGTTAGTTCGGACGCACACCCCTCCACGCCGGCTCAGGTGAGCGACAGAGGCAACTGCTAGCCGTATCGTGCCGTCTAACTCATACGCTGGAAGCCGGAAGCGTCGGTCGCTCAGGACCCTCACCCACCCGATTGGAAACACTAACTAGCGCGTAACGGCACGATTTCTCGAGTACCAGTTTTTTGGGGTTGACTAATAAGCTGAAAACCAAGCGAAAAATCGGCCCACTTCATGTTGGGGTCTACGACGTCTGTAAATACGAAGAATGGCGGTTTTAAAACGGCCGTCGTACACCTGAGAACTGACAGCCTGACCTTTGACGTACCCGGCAGCTCACCGCGCTCTTCGCCGGTCGAATGGGTGGTCTACATCGCAGGGGCTCTGGTGAGCGTGGACCGCAGTCACTGTCGGAAAGCGAAATTTCTCATCATCTCCCAATTGGTTGGGGTGCGCAGAAAGAGAGAGGGTAGGGTAGGGGAAGGGTGTGAGGGGAAGGAGGGGGTATGTGAGGAGCGGAGGGGAGGGGGTCACAAGTGTTGCGGACTTTGTCACGGACTTCAAGCAAGTCGAGACGAGAGGATATCTACAGCCGCAGGTTCCCGGCTACTTGTCATCGTTTACTACCGCCGTCTCAAGTCTCAAATTTCCATCATGGCCCGCGTGCTTGTTGGAGTGAAAAGAGTTATTGATTATGCCGTCAAGGTAATTGAAGTGACGTTGTTAAAGATGTGCACTGTTAATTTGGGTAACTACAGCTGTTCTACTGGGAGAAGTTTGATGGTTCAACCTTGAACCTTGTTGTTTTTCTCTTGATGTGGGATTATGTACTCAATCTGATAATCAGTGATGAAATTTCCACATCACCTCATTTTCTACCCGCACTGTATTACATTCACCTTATATACCCAGATGTCAGTCGTTTCTTCTGTGCATTGAATTTCTGTTTTAGGATACCTTATCCATCAACAATTTCAGCTTCTTCCGTAGTCTACCTCTTTGTCCCCTCAATCTCAAATTCTCCAGCTCCAGCTCTACTATCACTCGCCACTTAACCTTCTTTGGATTCTCTTTTCACTCATAGCAATAAAATTGTATAATGTTATACTTCACTTCTTTGCTTGTTTTATGTTGACATGTTGTTTTTCTTTAGATTCGGGTCAAGCCTGACAAGAAGGGTGTGGTTACGGAAGGAGTTAAGCATTCCATGAATCCATTTGATGAAATTGCAGTCGAAGAGGCTGTTAAAATGAAGGAAAAGAAATTGGCGTCGGAAGTTGTGGCTGTATCTTGTGGCCCCTCTCAAGCACAGGTTAGTTTCTTATATCTTGAGCATTTATTTTCAAGGAAGACATTATTTGGAGTAACTGCTTTATATTGAACTGACGAACGCAGGAAACTTTAAGGACAGCACTTGCCATGGGTGTTGATCGGGCGATTCATGTTGAAGTGCCTGCAGGAGAGTATGAGACATTGCAACCAATTCATATCTCCAAAATTCTTGCCAAACTGGCTCAAGAAGAAAAGGCCGACATTGTTATTCTTGGCAAGCAAGTTAGTGCATACTTGAAAGTACCTTGAATCTTGGTTTTGAGTTATTGACTTTATCTTACGAATTTTAAATCCTTTTAGGCTATTGATGATGATTCCAATCAGACTGCTCAGATGACAGCAGGTGTGCTAGATTGGCCACAAGCTACCTTTGCTTCTAAGGTAACGGGAATTTAGTACTCAATTCGCCTTAGTATACCTTTTTGGCATTTACCTATATTTTTTTTTTCATTTAATTTCAATAGATTGAAAAAAAAGATTCTGAACTCCATGTGACAAGGGAAATTGATGGTGGACTTGAAAACATCAAAGTGAAACTACCAGCTGTGTTAAGTGCTGATTTGCGTCTCAATGAGCCACGATACGCAACTTTGCCTAATATAATGGTTAGTCCAACAGTCCTATAACTGGGTAATAATACTTCTAAAGTCCAAAGATGTTAATCAACACATCTCTTTACAGAAAGCCAAGAAAAAGCCACTTAAGAAGATAACCCCCAAAGATTTAGGTGTGGATATTTCGCCAAGGATTGAAATCATCAGTGTGGAGGAGCCACCTGTCAGGCAGGCAGGATCTGTTGTACCTGATGTGGACACCCTCATTAGTAAACTGAAGGAATCTGGACATGTTTAATGTATATGTCACTAAGTCAAACTGTATCGTGCTGCTTCTGTGTGAATTTCCTTGCTGTGCAAGTGCTGTTTGTATAAATTTCAATTTTGCATATATTTAAACAAAGTGTTATTGTAGATGAAAATCAAATATTTTTGCATATCTTTTTTTTAAATGTACGTGATTATGAATATTTGCTACTGGCACAAAACTAAATAGAACTATAAACATTTTTAAATCTTAGTTTAACGTATATATTTTCCTCTTCATACTTATTACATAACTGACAATTATTTGATCAGATGTTTTACAGTTACAAGAATTTTATAAAAACTCTTAATTTTATTTTGCAGTGCTTTTAACAAAAGATTTCTGCCCAACAATTAAATTTTATCCTACAGCCTTCAATTCTACAATTGAATGTACAGAACCAGCCCAAATTGATAGTATACATACTTACAGACACAAGTTGTATTTACATGAAACTAGGCTCACTTTTACCCCCATCCTTTGCAAATAACAAAGGTTGCAACTTCAAATATTTTTATTTCAATAAAAGGCAATAAAAAGAAGGGATTTCAACTCAGAGGAAGGACATCATCTGAAAATGCTTGGGTTATTGGCGAGGCAGCACTCATCACAATAGAAGCAGGGGAGGTAACACTCTGAGTTGGTGAGGATGATGGTTCTGCCTTTACTTGCTGACTTTGGGACTCCACTTTAATAGCAGGCTGAGATTGCTGTACGAAGACAGACTTGACACCCATGGCAGCCGACTGAAAAATAGGGAGGGTAGTTAGTTCAAGAAGCAAATGCAACAACAAATATAGAGGATTCAGTCTCCTAAAGCCAGAAAAGATTCTAAACATTTGAAATGCACATTTAAAAGCCGATAGATAAATGGCTTCTGGCACAAGACAATGAAAACAGAAAGAGTGATTAATACTAAATAATACCTGAGATGCAGAATTGTTTCCTCCTGCAACCATAACTATCTGATTGGAAGCCAATTTTACAACTGCAGTTCCACCAGTTCCTTGCACATTTTGATTTTGAGTAATAACCTGCTGTAACAGGAAGAAAACATTAGACCCTGACACATTGATCTGAATATGCTTTTTAAGTATTTATGTTACTTACTGGACTTGATGAATTTTGGCGGGATGTGACTATAACATACTTTTGTTGTGAATTAGCTGGAGAAACAAGTTGTCGGGAGCCACTTGCTGGACTGCTGGCAACTACAATTGGTCTACCTCCTCCACCAGGTGACACACCTATTTAAACAGATATAGATATTAGATAAAAAATAAAAGACTTACAACTAATGAGATTAGAGACAGGGCTTGGTGGAGGCAAAAGGATACATAAAAGAGTCTAACCAGTAAGTTGAGTTATGGATCTTGGAGTGGTTGGAAGAACTCCTGATGGTACAGCTCCAGTCATGTTTGAATTACTTGTTCCTCCACTTCCTGTGGTTGATGTTGGAGTTTGGGGAGCAGATCTTGCTTTAACTACAGCTGAATGTAAAAGAGGTCCTATGAATCCATACTCTAGCTTATAGTCATCCAAATTATCAGGTGGTGACCGAATAGATTTTAAAATGGGTGGAAGTATTTTCTGAAAACAAAATTGATATGAAGATCTGAAGATTTTTGCTTGATCTGAAAATACCCAATATAGTTCCACACTTTGTTGAGGTTTTGAAACAGTTCATAAACCACACTCATGCAAATTCATAAAATAAGTACCTAATGGAGGTGAATTAACTTTTTAGATATTTACTCAAATTAGTCATAACATACCAACAGCAGATGCTTAATATGTCCAGCCGCAATGCGATCAACTTGGCTAAAATTAGGACTTTCCAGTGCAGGTTCGATCCTCTCTGCAAGATACTTCATTCTTGGTAATACAAAGACTTTCACCACTTCAGGCCCAATTTCTGATAATCCTACAAGAAAACAGAACTTGATATAAAAACAAGTTTATGTATTCATCAGAGGGAAAATATTCATCTCTTCTATTTCACTTGAGTTAGTAAAGATAGAGGAAATGGGACAAATACCTTCAACAGCCCCATACAAAGAAGCTAATGGTGTTTTTTCTTCGTGCAAGGCTTGACTGAACATTCGAGTGACTCTGGTTTGAATGTTATTTGTAGATGTGTTGAAATTTTTACAAATTTGAGATAAGAGCCTACTGGCAAAATCTCTCAGAGCCCAATGGTTGTCTGTATCTGGTCGCAGACAAAGTTGTCTACTTACTATACATGTTACAACAGATGGCAACAGTTCATGCAACTGCAAGAGAAATGTTTAATATTATTATTTAGCCAATATTTAACAATGACATTTATGAAAATTAACATCCCAAGTAATTCAGTAAACTAGCCCATACAAATTTGAGTAAAAAAATAATTTTATTTATTAAAATGAGAGATGGATAAAAAGGGAACTCACATATTTTTCCAGGAAAAGAGTTGAGTTATCCAGCAGAGCTTTAACCATTCTCATGAGATAAATAAGGAAAGCTAAATTATTTTGGACAACATTAACTTTAACACCTTCTGCAATAAATGTGCACATTCTTGGTAACATCTCATGCAATCCAGGATCAGCAGCCAAACTCTGCAGAGCTTCCTGTAGCAGATAGAAGTACAGGTTTCAGACAGCTAAACATACAGATAACAAGTACAAGAGAGCAAAAAATTTAGCCAAGCATACTGTTCTGCGTGCTTCATCAGATCCAACACAAGCTTCAGTTATTTCTTTATAATACAGCTGCTGTTCAACAGACAACTCATGTGTAGCAAGCTGCTTTATATGAACTGTTTCCACATTACGAGGTTTTTGTACTTTCCTGAAAAAATATTTGAAAGTATGTTCACGATGAGTAGAACAGATATTAAAGGAATGTCATATTTTAGCAAAGGATGAACACACATGTAATGGGTCATCAGTTTCAGAAAAAAAAAAATTATGTGCAGAGATACGAGTCAAAACTCTCAAACTAAAATAATTTTGTTCTCAATGAATAGTAGTTATAAAACAAACAAAAACACATAAGAAAGAACATACACTGCTGATTTTGAGCCATCCTTGTTAGCACCTAGCTTAGAGGCTGGGTCAACACTCTCCAACTTTTGAGCATCCTTTGAGACTGGTGGAGGATTTTCAGGGATAGTTGGCTGAACCCCTTCAATTGCTAACCAGTGAGCTGCAAAATAATGTAAAAATGATGTAAACCATGAGAAAAATCGTTTTAAATAAAGTTCAAGCCTAGACATAATCAAAATATAACTAACTATGGTTTCAAAATAATATTGGATTGATTAGGGAAAGTCTTACCCCTTATGGATACATCAAGAGGAAGTTTAGGAAGTTGACTATTAACAAGGTCATTAAGATCCAGTTCTTTTTCTTCAATAAAATGGAGTTCTCTTCCACCCCCCGAAGCAAAACGAAAAGGAATATGGTCTGCTGTGTGAAACCCATATAAGGGCTACAAAACAGAAGATTAGCAGGAAAGTAGATGCAGGGCATAGTCAAGAAATATCAAGACAAGTTCAATATTCTCACCTCTACTCCTTTGACTTTCAGAGCAGCATCAATGTCAGATGTGGAGAGTTTTTGTCTTTTGGCGTGGAACATAAATTTTGCAGCATCCTGTAAAGACCAAATGGTGAAACTCCTACTAAAGTACAAGTAAACATAACAATATAAAATAAAATATAAAAATGTCACATTATTATATAAAACAGAAGAAACGTTAGGGAAAGAAATGACAATATAATGCACAAACAAATATTCGGACAAAAGCGGGTTTAGGTTATGGTAACATTCATAATACAGGAGCCACAACCAGAAGCAGCATGTTTGCGTGGACTTTGCAAGAAATTTCTCGAGGAATCGAATAAAGTGTTGTACCTGAATGATCAGCTTAAGTCTATACGACACGTCCTCTGCAAGTTCTTTTGCCGCTTCGTCTGGTAAATTGGGGATGCCGATCGTCTCGGCTATTACTTTAATAGATTCTTGGGACAAAGTCGTCCCGTACATGTCACTCTCACTCATTTTGGATTGTGTAAATCACATATACGGGCTGAAAACCAATCTGTCCTTCATGATTCTGGCAATTATGAGGTCACTAAGTGAAAAAATGTGAGGAAAATTTCAACACGCAATCACCTCCGCGGATAGCGTTTGTTGACTAACTTAAAAATCCGGGCTGCGTTCGATGCAATGCTAGACACATGACTATATTTGAACGCAGCTCATACTGCCTATTGATCGTTACGATGTTATTTACCCTCCTCCTGCAAGGATAGTGAGTTCGTCCGTCGAGCAGACAGCAAATTTCTGTTTAAAGTGGAAACGAACTATGTGATTTGAAAATGAACGTAACATATTTGTTTGCAAGGTGGTTATCACATTTCCATTTACTGTCGAATGTCTATTAAGAAAAATAGCAACATAGTAATTTGACTAAGAGGCGCATGTTCAGAACTTTTAACCTGTTCTTCATGTAAACTCTGTGTTATTCTTTTGACTGTCAAGTGCTGTCAATGTTAAACTTTTCTCACCCTGTAAAGGAATTTTTTTCTAAGCAGTATTTATTTTTGTATTTCTTATAGGTTGTCAGTACGATCAATTAAACCAACCATTAATCAAATCTCAGCTCGTAATATTTCGTTGAACACTTCACTTCTGATAAAACCGACGCAATGTCTCTTGTAAGTTAATTGTCAATGTCATGCATCTCAATGTCTGTCTTGCACGGTCTGTTCTGTTCTTTAGAAGTTCTGAACATTCCAATATCTATCTATTTTACAGTGCAGCACCTCTCAAAAAAAGACATAAACTGGATCCTGGCCAGATCAGAGCAAGAGAAGAGAAACGCAAAAGAAAACTTGAAAAAGAAATCAGACGTTTACAAAAATTTGCTCAAACCTTAAAACCAATTGAAGAAATGCAGTTACCATTGCATATCCAAGACCAAAGAGAGTGAGTTTGAACACTTCGGATTGTTTGCTCTCCTTGCTCATAGTGCTAGATGTTTTGCGTACATATATTTTACATGCTCTAACAACATTGATCCCTTTTAGGCAACGAGAAAGGGAGACGTTTTCGGTGAGTCCCATTGAAGAAGAGCAGCGGGCATTATTGCTAAAGAAATGGTCCCATCATTGCTTTAAAGAGAACTTGGCTTCCATGAAATTGCTTGACCAGCTAGAGTACTCTCAGCGTATGGCTCTAGATAAGCTTCGAGAAGAGTCTGAAGAACTTTATCAAGCTGCACTTCAGGTTGGTGATGCCATTTCAAGTTCAAGTGCTCCTCTCACATTTTTAGTATCTTTTATTTGTTTGAGAAGAATCAGACACCTGTGAGCCATTGCCATTCATTATTTTCATTATTCGCTGGCTTCCCTGCAAAGTCTGAGCTCTGTACTTCAAATGGTTCAGGAGCTATGGGCTTTCCATAATCACACTTTTTCTCCCTTTTCCGACCAATTCTTCATGAAAAAAAAACAACTTTTAGCCTTTGAAAGACTTGAACTCTAGATTCACTGTTTGGTAAATTTAAGGGAAAATACTACTAGAAGATGGAATGGACATGCTTCTATCTATTGAGCTCAGAAGGGACTTCCTGGGATCAGTCATCTGAAAATGCCCTTTGATACTCAAATGGTCGTTTTGGGCATTCATGGCTGATTTTGGCTTTTGAGTGCAAAGTCTAAATCTACAGTTTTGGTCTGATCCGTCCCAGACAAGTGAAGATTAAGATACCATCAGGGGGATGCCCTTACATCAAAACAACCAATTTCTTTTTCAATCGTTTTTTTGTTTTGTTTCTGTAGATGTTCAAATTATGAAAGGCTTACGCGTGTTTGATGAATCTCCTCTTGTTAGAATATGTATATTTATACTATCTCCTCTTTCTTTAGGTTGATGACTCGTTAATTAATATTTCCATAAAAGGTCCTACAGTGACACCACCCATTAAAGATTATGACAGTCCAGATGGCGACTACCAGAATACTTCATTCAAATGGGGATAAGATCACTATGTAAATGAGTCTGGATTTTTAAATTTAATTTTTGTAGATCATTGTTAAAAAAATTCTTGGATCAAATACAATTTTTGTGAAACTGCTCAGTGATACTTTCAAATATTTTTCCCCTTCACGACACCTCACACCTTGCCATTCCCCATCCTCTCTCCATCTCTTCCAGATTTTGGTTGTTCTTCCCCCTCCTTTCTATCGCTACGTTCCCCCACTTTCCCCCTCTGCCCGAAGGAGCCGCCGCGACCGTAGAAGAAAGAGAGAGGGAAAGACGGGTGGGGTAGTTGCTGAGCTGGCCTGACCGGACTTGTTGGACTTGTTGATGGACATGGCCAAGGCACATGATCTGATCTCTGAATGCGACAGTCCAGGCCCGCCACCGCTAGCTGTCTATTTCTGCAGCGTCAACGCACCGCGCCACAACGAAGCTGCAAGGTCACATCGAGGCATCGTCTTTCGGCGCGCTGCCTGACTCGCTGTAGGGCTCCCAGTCGGTCTCTTCCCCTGAGGCTCTGCTGATGTGCTACTCTTTATATGGGAGCATGAAAAAATAAATTGCTTTTGTTGAGCCAGTTTTCTCTTATGGCAGAGATGAAAGGAACCATGAAGCTGATTGTGATGTGCGCTTTTGTCACATGGGCTGCAAGAGGAGGTAATTTTACATTTGAATCCAACTAACACATGAGACAAGCAGAGTTTCTCTTTCATCAATCGTCGTAAAATATCCTGTGTTAATTATCGAGGAGTACCAAACATTACCTGCACTGGCCATATTTTGGAAGTCACATGGGCTTCCCTCTCTTGGCTAAGCAATTTTGAGAGTTGCTCCTTGTTGTTTTTTGTTTTTTTGTTCTAGTTGAAGGGCTTGATCCCCAGCCTCAAGGAAATGTTTGGAAGTCTGGAAACACCAGTAGACCATGGCAAAATCCAGGATGGGCTTCTTCAACCCAAACTTACAACCCAGTCACTCAACCACCCTCAAAAGACCAAAATTCTGAGTGGCCATCTCTCTCAGGTGGAAGGCAGGAAGTACAGCAAAACAGGCAGCCTTCATCTGGAGTTTCATACAGTCGAACTGTTAGTCCAACTAATCAAAGAACAGGGAGCACTGGTGGATTAAGGCCAAGTTCTCAACGCCCTTACAATCAAAATGGACAACAAAGAAGTACTTACAAACCACCATCACCTGTCTCAGCCTCTCATAACCGGACTCGGACAACAGATCAAGAACTAACAACTTTGTCTGAAAAGTTATTTGATGAAGATGTAAACAATGTTGGTCAAAACATAAGATTGAACTATCAAAGCAGGACCCAGTCCAATTCCTTGAAAGATGCTGCTCCAGAGCCGTAAGAAATTATTAAGTTTTTCAAAACCAGCAGTGATGCACTTTACAAAAACTATGATAAATACTTGAATTTTTTTCAGATTGCTCACTGTTGATCCAGTAGCATTGGACAGTCCTACAATTAAAGCTCTTCGACAACTGTATGATAATTACATTGCAGACTCGTCCTTTGTTGAATCAATTACTTCTACAGAACGACAAGAAGAAAGCGATTTCCTTGATAAGATACTTGACACAAGAGTTATGGCAGATACTATGGAGTTTCTAGCAGATAAAGGTAAAGAGAGATACAATCTTTAGAGTAAATTGTTTTATCCACTTAAGGCCAAGTGCATTTTCTCTCTTCCAGGATATGTTCAGAGAAATAAGAAAGCATTCAAAGAATTGTTAAACTCAATTTGGTTTACAATGTACTCAAGAGGCGGAGGAATAATTGGTTCGAGTGCATTTGAGCATGTATTCTTGGGAGAGCTGAAGAAAGATGAAGTTTCTGGACTACACAATTGGGTTTATTTTGCAAATGAAGAAGAAAACCACAGAGCAGATTATATGGGATACCTGAAGAAGCTAGATCTTGGCAAGGTAATGATAAACAAATTTCACCAATTATTACTTTGAAAAGTCTAATATTTATCAGTATTTATCATTTCCAGAAAAGTAATCTTCTTAAAGTTCACTTCCGCTGGTCCAATATCATCAAAAATTCTGGTTCAATGTTTGTTGGTACAAGCCCAGAGATGGAAATTGCCCTCTACACCATATGCTTCTTGACTCGTCCCGATGATCGTTGTCCTTTAAGTCTTGGAGGTAAAACCTTCGGTATTCAGACCTACACATACAGGCTCAATCGAAACAGAGGAGTTGTGATAGGCAGCGCATACCCCGTATTTTAATCTAAAATTGCACCACTTAAAGAAAACAGTGCTTTCACAGCTTTTAATGAAACTACAGTGTGTAACAGAAAATATAAAGT